AAAAAGTTTTTTTTTATTTAAATAGTAAAAAACTTGATGTAAATTGCAAATTGCAATAATACTACCCGGGTTGTTATGTATATAATGATGTTTTAAAAACCAGGTTTGGGCCTAGATTTGGTTTCTGAATCACGTGCTTTGATTCAGATACGTGTATTATCTGCTGACTTTTTTGCATTCACACGATTTACTCAACTTAAATCTTTAAAAGGAAACAAATAGCTATATATTTATTCCAGAAATGTGTGGTAAACAAAATATAACAGTCTCTAAACTATAACGTACACATGAAAACTGGTAGTGGAGATATGATTCTAAATTTATCACAAACACACTGATTTTTGATTGATACGCCCCTTCTCTATTTACGGAAATTGATCTATTTTTTTTTTCGAAATATCAGATATAGTAATAAAATGAATGTTTACATGAGAAGGCTCGGAAAAATATTACGTTGTTTTTTTTCTTTTTATGTGTCTTCCGTTTAGATACTTGCTTTCAGAGTGATTTTTCTAGTACATCAATGACGACGATAAGATCACCTGTTAATATAATATATTATATATGTAGTTATTGCATGTGAAGTATTAAATAACGGTTTTATTCAATGAGTTTACTAACTTATACATATTCTGTAAGATAAAATCAGAAAATCGGTTGATTTCACCCTTTTGCAAACCGCAATAATAATTTTTACACTAATAATTTTTCAGTCCATATGTCATTAAAAGGAGGAGCCGACGTAACTAAAGTTGAAACTCTAACGGTTGATTGAAAAGAATTTTTTTCATTAGGTTTTTTAGGTAGTAAGCGAACATTACGAAAAACAGAAAAAGTATGCTCAAGCATTTAATTCTATAAATATCGTCATCAATTGTGATGCTTGAGCGCCATCACGATTATTATCTGATCAATGATTTATGTGCTTGAGAACAGCCTAAGTCGACTAAAATCAACTATTCGATTAAATTTTATTGACTAAAAATTAACTAAAAATAAAAATATTATCGATATTCTTAGATTATAAACGAATATAGATTATTTGGCGATAGTTGAGAACGAATTTCTTGAAAATATTTGAAATGGTTTGAAATTATTTTTATAACTACAGTATATAGCTAGTATTTTTTTTCCTAGTACCCACGGGTACTGGAAGTTATTTATTGATTTGTATAATGTAAATCTAAATACCGTATTCCGTTCTCCAAAGTACCCCGGATCAAAGGCTTGCCAAAGAGGGCCTAACAATGGCCAATAGAACAAACTGGAAGCTCACGAAGCAAGTGTCAAATTTGCAAATTTGGTAAGACCAATTTGATATTGTATATACGCATTCAAATAATCGATCGATCTTTTTATTTAATAAATCAATTTATGGGCGTTCTCAAGCACCCACCTCAATGAATTCAATAAGAAATTTGATTGGTTAGTTTGATTAAACTGACCAATCAGATTCGTTATTGAGTCCATGCTTGAGAACACCCTATATCAATATACATAGTTTATTTGGGTGCCGTCAAGGGAAAACCTACAATCGGGCTTTCAAGTATATTTCGTGTACAGTTGGTTATCTGTGCCGTCTATGGTAAATTTATCATCGGACATAGATTTACCGTAGACGGCACACAGCGGGCGATTTGTTTTTTTAGTTGTTTAATTTGGTGAGTTTTAACTAATTGTCCCATACGGTTTTGCATTTTTAGGACCATTAAAATAGCCCGGTAATTGGCTAGTAATTTGTCTTTATTGGTTTCTTTCTCGTCGGTCTTATCCGTAATCAGGGTTTTATCCATTAGTATTATAATTTTAGGATTTGTTTTTGACATGTGAGATAACCAACTGTACACAAAATATACTTGAAAGCCCGATTGTAGACGGCACCCATTTATAATCGATGACCCTTAAATTACATAATAATTTACGGGTATTCTGGCGCGGGTGGGTATTGTGGCGCAACCGTAGTTTTTTCGACAATATCTCGAAATACACCGATCAGAATCGAAAAATTTTAGCACCATTCGATTCGTCTTACTGAGACGAATCAATCATGTAAAAAATTTTTGATTCTAATTACTAAACCACAAGATATAAGTAAAAAATCGATATTAATTATGTTAGTATTAAGTTATTTTAATTTTTATTATATATCTCCTCATTCGGGTAATGCCAGAAGGAAGGATGCAGTAATACAATACAAAAACAGTGATACGTAGTGTGCCATAATACCCCCAAATATAAAAACTTTCGATTTTTTTTTTATCAGATGGTTAATTTGATGAGTATCTATTTCAATAAATTCAAGAATAATATATTTTTTTCTGGAGATTTTTATAAAAGCAATTCTTAAGTGTGTCATAATACCCGACTCTTCCTTAAGGGTTAAATTTTAGCTATCGCTTATATAAGAACTTAATGCAAGAGCTATTCTCAGCAGTGAAGTTTTTAGCATTAAGAATTTTACTATTATGATATTTTTCTTACATAATCTGGAATTATAAAATCGATTGAACCAATAGACCTAGAGATTGTACCCGGATAGACATTTTTATTTAATAATACCCGGGTAGAAGATTTTCTTGACGGGTACAATCTCTATAGACGTATTATCTGATTTAATTTTTATTTAAATAGACATTGCCCATTCTCAACTAAATCGAATAGACATTAGACAATTGAACCATTAGGCAATTAGACAATACAATTTTTGATTAGAATATGTCTATTCACAACCCTGCTATATCCAATTTCATATAATTTTAAATTATGGACGACGATTTAAAAACTAGAACATGCCGACAAAATATTACCTCTAATCTAAACAAATCTTTAACTAAAAAGTGTAAAGGATGTGACAGGAGAAGGTTTCATAAAAATGTAAATTCTCAATATTGTAATTTTTGCAATCAAATAAGATTAAGTGGCAATGAATTTATAGACAAATGGCTTATTCAAGTTAATAAATCAATTAATATAGCTTTTCTAGGCTGTTTTGAATTCATTCCATATGAACAATTTAGTAACATTATATTCTTAGCAGAAGGTGGATTTAGCAAAGTATATAAAGCAACATGTATTGATGGTATTAAAAGAGAGTGGAATTCTCGAAAACAAAATTTTTATTATGATAACAATCGTGAAGTTATTCTTAAAAGCATTAACAATTCTGCAAATTTTAATTTTTTAAATGAGGTCTATATTTTTATACTGTATACTTATACTCAGTAATCGATATTGAAGATTATTAACTAACATATCTATCTCTTTTTTTTTATAGTTGGAGAATTATTTAGAGTGTATGAAATCACACTATTCTTTTCCAGCTTTTAAAGTATCTAATTATCTCGGCATTACACAAGATCCCAAAACCAAAAACTTTATAATCGTTATTGAATATGCCGAAAATGGAGACTTACATAATTTTATTTCAAAAAAGTTCCATACATTATCTTGGTATGAAAAGCTTAGAATTATTCAAGATATAGCATATGGAATTGACAGAATCCATGGCAAACAAATTATTCATCAAGATCTTCATCCTGGTAATATACTAGTTTATAATGGTAGTGAAAGAAGTTATGCAAAAATCGGTGATTTTGGAATAAGCAAGCCATTAAACACAAAGTCTAATATGAAAGATATCTTTGGGGTGATTCCTTATATCGCACCAGAGATATTTATGGGAGAAAAATACTCCAAGGCTTCAGATATATATAGCCTTGGAATGATTATGTGGGAAGTCATTAGTGGAAGAAGACCATTTTCTAATTGTAAACATGATTCACAGAATTTTTTAAAGAATTAATAAAAAAATGCTGGAATGCTAATCCATCAGAAAGGCCAAATGCAAGGAAAATTGTAATAATTCTTGGAAATATTTTAAAGAAAATACGTACTAAAGAACTTGATATCCCCAAACTTACAAAAATATCATCTGTCGAGGATGAACCATTACCTGCTGAAAATATGAATTCTAAATCGATATATACTAGTAGACTATTAACCTCTACAGTTTATGAAGCAGTAAGACAATACAATGAAGCACTAAGGCAACATAATGAAACGAAATGTGTCATAGATTGGGGAATCACACTGAATGTGTGCCAGGTTGGTGGCGCATTAATCAGTCCAAATAGGTTGCGCCAATTTAAAAATTCTAATGATAACAAT